AAAATGCACACGCAAGGACTATTTGCTTCTCTCTTTGCATAAATTTCTTATAACACTCAGCTGCAAATGTGTTTTTTCCTTTTCTTTGAATGCATGCAGCCACAAGTGTTAGAGAGTTGCAGACTATTGAGGAGAATTTTCTATTTTCCTAAAGAAAGTCTGGCTGCACAATCCACTTTCTTTTTGGAAATTTCTCCTATTTTTCTTTCTTTTTATGCAGTAATGTAAACAAGGGAGAGAGGGGTAAGGGAACCCAATAAGATTTTTTTCCAAATTCAATTAGATTTCTTTGTGGATGCTATTCTCTTACTACAAAACTGATAGGAATAAAGAGTTGTCTAAGAGTTCAATACATTATGGTTTACTGGCTGAGAGACAAAGCCAGAGGGAGAAAGAGGAGAAATTGTCTGTGCAGCCAATTATTTATTCACATTTTGGGGTGGTTTAACCAACCACCACTCGGCTAGGCAACAATGTCATGTTATCATCCACACACAGTTTCTCTCGAGCACACAACACAAATAACGGAGAGAGAGAGCATCCATTGCATGCAAGGGACGATGTGTGAGTGCCTGTGTGTGTGTGCTTCGTTAACGGAAATGTATGCACGAGAGTAGTGCTCTGCTTTGAATAATGTCGTGTTTGCATTATTGTTGTGTTATGATGAGTTCCGGTGAGCATAACAGTGAGAGAGAGAGCGAGGGGAAGTTGTTACCATTACAATGCACAGTATGCAGCCAATGCCGTTTGCTGGCTTGCTTGCACCACTACTATTACCGTTTTCAAATAGAAAAATAGAAGAGGGGTTATTTGTTGTTGTCATGATTTTTTTTTCTTCTTTATTTTTTTTGGCATTTTCTTACCCAAAAATTCAACATGGTTGTTGCTGTTGCGCTGCATACAATGTACGCTTGGTATTGGGATGATATGCCATGCTTGATTAGAGTTTAACAACACCGAGTAGAGTGGAAATTGTGGCTCGGCCAAGATAGCTGGGACGTTCGGCAAGTGTGATTCAGTTGCATTCGAACTGTGCACACAGTAAGACATACAGCTTTACATACTTATAAAACAAATTTAGAAAAAATAAAACTAAATGTTTTAATTATTTATTAATACAAAAAAGAGATATTAGAAAATTTAAAATATTTTTATAAACAAATACACAAAATCACATATAATTAAAAAAACTTGGAAATTATATTGAAAAAAAAGGAATCAAAAATTAAAAACAAGAATTTTTAAAAACAAAGTGTTGTGTTAATATTCGTGTGTGAGAGAAAAGTTATTAAAAAAAACATTAACAAAATGATGCTGTTACAACAACAAATGTTATGGAATAACCAATCTTCGGCTGCCGTACAAAATAATTCTTCCAAAGAAGAATCCCGTCTATTGGATAATTCATCACCGGCCAGTTTAAGGGATTTAAAAACGGAAATATTGGATGATCATGATGAGGAGCAGAATCACCGTCAAATCAATAATAATAATAATCTGCATCATCATCACATGCATATTTTCAATCATCATCAACACTATTATCATCAACACAATGATGGTCAGGATGGAGATGACCATCATCATCATCATGATCATGGGGATGACAATGTACCTGTTAAACAAACATGTAGGTGTCACAAAAGAGTTATTTTTTTAATTTTATTGAAAATTTTTAATTCCAACGTTTTAAAACGGGAAATAAAACTCGGAAAGTAATTTCTGAGGATTAAACAATTAGCCGTCGTAGGAACTAGATTTGTTTGAATTTGGAATTGAACCTTTAGCAAAAGGGCCTCTTAGCCAAACTCCAATGTTTTGGCTGCCAAAAAAATATATTTTTAGGAATATAATTTCTAAAAAATAGGAATAGGAGTTAATTAACTGAATTTGGATTTGAGTCTTAACAAAAAGGACTTCATACGTCAAAGCCATTTTTTGAACTTACAAAAAAATATATTTTAGGATCTTGAAATCTGAACATTTTACGCAAATTTCTAAGTCTATAGACCAAAAAGTGAATAAGGATGAAAAAAATAAAAGAGGAAATTTTGAGTTATATGCCTTGAAAAAATACGCTATTTGTTCTCTATAAAAATATTATTTGCGGATCTTTCGGGTCTCAAAATGTTCTCCACATTTTGAGTCATATATTGTGAAAAAGTACGATATTTGTTGTCTATAAAAATATTTTTTTGCAGATCTTTTGGGTCTCAAAATATTTTTCACATTGTTCTCCGTAAAATGGAGTATCTTCTAGGACCCTATAATTTTTTTTTTTCAAAATTTTTATTTTCAAAAAAAAGATATACTTATATACTATATACTTTTGAAACCTAAAAAACTATTTTTATTTTACATTTTTTATTTGAATTTTGGGTTTCAAACATTTTTTTTCCAAACGACCCGTCGGAAATTAGAATTTTACAAATTTTTATTTTCAAAAAAATTTTTAAATAACGCTTCCAAGTCTTCTCATTTGTCTTGAGGAAAAAATATATTTTTATGGACTTTAGAATCTGGTTTCAATCTTCAGAATATCCATGGGAGAACAGCGTATAGCCAAAGGACTTTTGTAATTTTTAAAGATTTTTCTCTCAAAAACCTGCCACTTTTAAATCTAAGACTTCTAAACCCCTCCTTACGAAGGACGTTTTTGCCATCATCAAAAAATATTTTCTTTTGGGGACTATAGGGTCTATTTTTTTATTTTCCAAGCCAATCTTAAAAGAAAAGGCTATTGTCTTTGACCTTCCAAAATTTATTTTAAATTTAATTTTTTTTTTTAATTTAAAATTTTTTAAATTTAAAATTATTTGTTTTTTTTTTAATTAATTTCCTTCAAAAAAATGTTTTATTTTTTTTAATTTTTATTTGCTTCAAATTTTTATTCCAAAAAAAATCCCTTTTTATTTTCACCTGCCTTCGGCCGTACTCACCAGGATGTCTCATCTTACTCTTTCTTTTCGTGTTTCTACTCTTTGTTTGACAAGCAAGCAATGGGAGAAAAGTAAGTAAGCAAGCAGAAAAAAGGACATGTGTGAAAGGTCTCTCATTATCGGGGCAAACATCCACCACTTGTATTGTTCGAAATCTTTGTCCAAAGACAAATTAACATAAATCCAGCTGGGAACAATGCTCACATTTCCTATTTGGGAATTTAATGATAACCATGCAAATCCTGTTCAATAGGAATTGGATCAGTTTACGGGGCATAGAGATATTGGCCGGCGGGAAGACAAACAAAAATCGTATCTTACGTTTCTCCCTCTCTGCTGGTCACAATGAATATTCAAATTTTTTCAATTTCCTAGGTGATCGAGCATTTATTTTTTCTCATATAAATGCATTTGTGTGTGTGCATTGTAAGGAAGCCAGGAAATTTACATTTTCTTACCTGTCCAGAAAAACCCATGTTTTGCATGTCTTTACTTTTTTGCTTCTTCGTTCGTCATGGGGGTTGAGATAAGATAAGACACAAATCTTAACACAAAAAACTAGCATGAAATTTATGTTTTTTCTCATCAATAGTTTTTGTTTTTGCCATTGCAAGATTTTAAAAAAGGATATGTGTGCATGACCAAAAAAGGAAGAAAAAAGGCAAAAATTGCCTTAAAAAACTGACAATTTTTAGGTAGACAAACAACCAACCACAAAAGCCAGTTTTGAGAGGTGTTTAATTTTTTCCTTCGTTCTTAATTACAGGGATTACAGGGAGGAAGTAAATACCATAAAATTTGTGTTGCAAAAAAATTAGGCAAAAAATTACCTGAAAAAATACTAAATTTGACTTTTTAACATCTGCAGGGAAGACGATCATAAAAAAATTCGATTTTTTGCGCTTGACCAGAAAACAAGCCATGGCCTTCAGCAATTCCCAGAGAGGTTTGCCATAAATAGCAATGTATTTAAATCTTCTGCTTTTTGCCGCCACTTCTTCTTCTTCTTCTTCTTGGCCATTATTTAGGTGATAATCTAAGTATTTATGTTACTTTTATTTGCTTATTCTCTTTTTTGCTTTTGAGGGGAAAGGAAGGACATTTTTACATATTTTGTGGTTAAAATATGTTGGCTTTCACGCCAGACCTCCCCCCTCTCGCCTCGGTCACTCCTGGGCAGTGTGATAATGTTTGTTATCTTTGTAATATGAAAATATGTAGCCCAGGCTAAAGAAATGATAACACCCCTGGGGAGCTATAAATTCCATAAATAGTGTCCCTTGTTTGTCCTTCATTTGTGGCAAGTAAAGTTTGGCCAGTGTCCTGTTTTTTGTGGCTTTGGTTGTTTATTTGTCTGCTGGTTATTGATTTTTTTCGCAAAGCACATAAGCTAAGCTCCTTAAAAAACAGAGAGAGCGAAGAAAAGGATACGCAAATGTCAAAGGGAATTTTATTGCATTTCCATGTTTTTTTTATTATTCAAATGTAAGGGCATGCAAAAGGACAAAAATACTTCAGAAATATATTCAATTTGTCAGAGATTAAGGACTTTCTTTTGGATTTTTTTGAATATATCTTTTTTACATAAAAAATTATTAAAAAAATAAAATTAAATAATCATGTGATTGTATTTCAGTGCCTAAAAAATAAAAAATATGTGCTTTTCTTTCAAAGAATATTTTAAAAAATAATTTTTATTTTTTCTTCCAAAAAATTGTTTAAAAACAGTTTTTTAATTTATTTGTTTTTTTTTAATTTTTTCTCAATATTTAATTTTTTTGGTTAAATTTTTTTAATTAAAAAAATTCTTTTATTTTTTTCCTTAAAGAAATATTAAAAAATTCCAAAACTCATTTTTTCGCATTCTCTCACTTCACAATTTCGAATTTAAAAAAATTATATTTTCCTTTAAAAAATATTAAAAAACACATCCAAATTCCTTTCTTTTCCTTTCCGTTTTTTCACATTTTTTCTCTTCACAATAAAACTAATTTTATGTACGTGATTTTCCTGGAATTATTTGCATTAATTTTCTATTTTGTTTTCTCCTCTTTTTTACAGATCTACGACACATGTCCAAATCACCTTCACCCATACGATCCTTATCAGGTATGTATTGATTCGTAATTTATTTGAAAATAAAATCTCTAGGCAAGATTTTCTAAATGCGATAAAACGGTACATTTTATTCCTATATTACCTTTTAACGGTATTTAGTGTGGTGTCTCACAAATTACCCCTACGATCCTAGGTTGTCCTCTACTGAATAAAAGAAAACGTGTCACAATTGTACAAAATCCTTGTCACGGCCAAGCAGCACGTGACCAAAATTCGAAATGAACTTGTAGTAGATGGGACATGACAATTTTCTTTAAACAAGGATCGTCTTCTTTTTTGTCGCCACTTTATGATCATTCTCTAGGATGTTTGTGGTTTTGATAGGCCACCAACCCCTTTTTCCTGATCACATTTTTTGCTTGTGCAATTTTATTACCCCCACACGTGCCCGCAGAACCTATTTCTTTAGACTGCACTTCAGAAGATGAAGAAGGGTTTTTTTATTTATAATTTCTTGAAGATGATCCTCCTTTCAATATCTTGTTTTATCATCAAACAACCCCTTTTTAAATTTCTTGTGCAATTTTTCCCAATACCTCCACGTGCTGAAAGTGGGTTAGGCACGTGAAAGGGTGTCCTTTTCTTTCATAAAAATTATTTGCAAAAAAAAAAAAATAATAAAGTCATCAAATGAAGATCTTAAAAGAAAATATATATGATGATGTGATACTTCCCATCTCTGCTTATAGCGGCATATACACCTGCAGCATATCATGTAATAATTTATTCAGTAGCTACTTGCTACTCAAACGGTTCTTCCTTTCTCAGTTACTAATCTCTGAGTAGCTTCTCTCTATTTGTCTCAGAAAATTTCTTAATTTTCCTCAATTAATTAATTGTATCAATTCCATACTTCCCACCTCTGAATGTGGCGCTTACATGCTCATTAAACTGTTGTTGTTTTCTCATTAACTCCTCTTCCTCTCCGAAAAGTTAATCAATTTCTTTAATGGATTTCAATGATCACCTCTCTCAACAATGTAATTTGGGAAGAGAAAGCTCTCCCATCATTGAATGCCAATGGGAGAATATCCCACCCAAATGGCATTCAGAGATGACAGTGCATAATTTCATTTATTATAATAAAATCGGTTATTTTTTGTTTTAATTTTCCATTTAAATTAATTTTGTAATTTTTTCACAATTAAAATTTTGCAAAAAATTTCTGCATACTTTGGGGATGAAAAGATTCAAAAAAAACTGGTTTAAAACTAAATTAAAAAATAATTTAAAAAATTAATTTTGTGGACATAAAAATTAACTGAAAAATTATTAAAAATAAAAATTAATTAAAATAAATAATAGATTATTTTTTAAAAAAAAAAAAGACTTCCCTTATCTTTTTTAAATAATCCCACCAAGTTTCGTCTCTAGGAATTAAAAAATCTTCTTTAACAAACTTTTTTAAATTCCCTTTATCCTCAATTCCCCTAATCATAATTTACCGCATATTTACATAATAACATGCTAATAATCCTTTAACAACACCTCTACTACCCTCCATATGAAACTAATAAAAAGTGAATAAAAAATCAATCACCACCTTATCAGGGAAATTGAGCCATTATAAAACAATTTAGGTGGAACACGCAATCCTTTAACACACACCCAACCCTTTCGAATTACCATAATCAAATCAGACAACAAAAGGAACAAGGCAAAAAAGGACCCTTGCACACTCACAAAAAACAAGGCGCTAACAAATAAGCATATCATTTGAATAATAACAGCGTTGTTTTTTAACTCTCACCCAACAATCAAAGTCAAATCCTTTTCTATTCGAGCGAGGGGAGAGCTCTTGCTCATTTGCACTTGAAAAAAGGTAACCCTTTGCCTTTTTTCAAACTTCCTGTTGCATTTGAATATTTTAGGGTGGTGGCTCGCGGTTTGTGTTTTGCATAATCAAAGGGTGCTAAGTGGCGGCTTGTTAATTGGTTTTTTATTATCCAAAATTATTTGAGATTACCCCATCTCTCATGACGACCTTTGTTTTACGCCGTGTTCAAATGTCACAATATTTTTTCAATTTGCCATAGGTAAATTGTTGATCGTTAAAGTTAAATGGCATATAATTTACATAACCTTTTTCCGGCTTTGAATGATGGCCTATGAGGATAATGAGGATGATGGTGGTGGTTGGGCATGTAAATTTAGGGGATATTTAAATTTTCTCCCATTTAGGGGAGGGTAGATGATTATGCAAACATTGTAAATTCAAAACACAACCGTTTTACTTAAGATTCATTCAAGTGGTTTGGTAGGGGGATAACATTAACAAGGTGCCATGCATTTGTTTGTGTGCAGGGTGGTGTTTTTGAGGGTGTCAAAAATTTGCACAAACATACATACATACAGACATATTTTGCATTCCATCCCATTGTTTGTTGATAATTTACAGTGACAAATTTGTTGCGTTTGTGTTTGAAAAATTTCTGAAAAATTCTTTTATTTTGGCCAGGGGTCAGTTTTGGAAATTTAATAGGGTCATGTCCATGACCATTACTTGTTCTGGATATTTTTAGGCAAAAATCTTTTGTCCACTACGAGGGGTCAAGGGTGTCTGTCATCTGCATTTTGGGGGTGTTGTAAATTTGGGAAAACTGACAGTTGTTTTTATGATCATGACAATTCAACATTTGTAGGGGTGGATTTTTCAATGGAATTTGAAATTAGAAAAAATCTGTGCATTAGTTTGAGGGGGAGAGACAGTTTTGGTGAATTCAGAAAAATCAAATATAAAAATTGAAATAATTTTTTTTAAAGGAAAAATTATTTATTTTTATTTACAAAATTGCTCTGTTCCAGAACCTGCAATAATCTACTAGTATTGCAATTTTTTTGATATCATAAAAGAAAAAATCGGTTATCGTAGTAAAAAGTTTTACATTCTTGTAATTCTGGAACAGAGCAAATATATATTTTTATGGAAATTTCATAGATAAATACTACAAAATTACATTGCATACTTTTGGGATAAAACAATGAAATAAATTCTAAAAATCATTTTTAATTCGAAAAAAGTGATATTAATAGAAATTTCGAATCCTTGGTCAAATTATTTAAATTCAAACAAAATCTGTGCTGTATAATTTCTACGTTTTATTTTAATTTCCCTCTCCTCCTCCCCCAAAATTTTCAACATCTGCCTCTTCATTTTTTTCGTTCTTTTTTACACAAAATTTTCTAACGTATTTTTTATGGGCCAACATTACCATGAAATTCCCTAAAAAACACTCACACACACTCTCAATATTGTTAGACAACAATGAACACTCCCTCAATTACACAATAAGCCAACCAAAATCCTGACTCCGATTACATGGAAATACACAGAACAGCCGAAAAAAGGACAATGGTTTTGGTCCTTTACAAAAGCAAAAAGAAAAAAAAAACAACCATAAAAAAGACTGGACAAACAATAGTACAAAAAAATAGTAAACGGAAATGTCATAAAATTTGTTTAGGCAAAAAAACGAGATTTATATGACAGTTTTGAAATATAAAGAAAGGCGAAAAATAGACAAAGAATTATGGAAATTTGAAATGATCGTCAATTGACAGCAATTGTAATGGTACAATGAAACGATGATCAAAGGGCAGATGTTGGGAAGGATACTTAAAGAGATTTTTTATATGGGTTTGAAAAAAAAAATAAATATTCAAAACAAAAAAAAAAATAAAATAAAATTTAAAAAAATTAAATAAAAAAAATATAAACAAATAAAAAAATAATTAAAAAAATTTAAATTTAAATTGTTATTATTAATAGGAATTTTTGATTTAATATATTTTTTTTTTCAATTTTATTTTAATAAATATATTGAAAATATTTATTCTATTAAATTAAAAAAAATATATTAATTAAAATTTTTATAATTAATAGAAAATTTTAATTTAATATTTTTTTAATTTTATTTTAATAATTATGTAGAAAATATTTATTCTATTAAATGGAAAAAAATGTATTAAATTAATTTTTTTAATTTTAATTAATTTTTTTTTTAATAATTATTTTGAATATATATTTTCAATATTTTTATTAAACATTTATTTCTAGTGTTTTTAAAAAAATGTACAGTTTCCCATATTTTGGCACCTTTTCCTATTTCCAATTTTTTTCCAAATCTACCCATAAATCTCCAACATGTCATTTTATTACACATGTATGTTTCAAATGATCCATCCAAAGACTTGATCAAAAATTAGCTTGCATTGTAAATTCTTTATTGAAAATTCGTTACAATCGATAAAAATCTCAAAAATCACAAAACATTAATGGAACGTGTAAATCACCCTTTTCGCTGTTACAGCAGCAACCCCTTATTTTTGGCAAACGGGGGATTAAAATTTCTCTTTGGCCATTTACTTTTTGAAAAATTAAACATGGTTCCCGAATTAAAACAAAAACTCAAATCACATTACATTAGGGAAAAGAAAATCACGACGCTGTGCATAAAAGGGTGATTTGAGGGAAAGTCACCCTTTGTTACCCGCAGGAAGGGAGTTTAATTATATTGGCAGGCAGGGAGGCAGGAGGCAGCATAGATAAATTACAATGGCTTGACTTGTTCCAACAACAACAACAAAAAATTCTGATTACAATTGTAACAATTGTTTTCAGATTCGTCAGGTTCTCAATGCAAACTTTGCCTGCCCAGCAAGCCAGAAAAATCGAAATGTCACAACACTTTCTCAAGTTACAGAATTTCTCTCGGAAAGTCTTTTCTCTCTTTTCTTGAAATCAAAAAAAAATACATCAAAAGAAATAAATCATTAAAAATTCTAAATACCAAAGATTTTTACACCTCCTGATGTTTTGGGTTCTCTCAGTGATGCACCACCACCACCAGACCAGCATTGCACTGTCAGCGTTAGCATTTTCCACACCAGGCTCAGACAAAGAGCCAAGTGACCGCCAGGTGATATTTGGTGAGCTATTTGTTTGATGTGTGAATGAATGAAAGGCAAGCAAGAGGCAGCAGCTGTTCGGCTACAGCAATTTTATTTGGAAATTGAATTGAATTTATTGTCAATCCAGCAATTGTTTGTTTTGAGCATTGATGTGTGTGTGTGCGAAACATGTTCTGATTTTCGAATGCTTGGTTGAAAGGATTTTTCACATTTTTGGAATTTTAATAAGGCAGTCGTATGGCTCTCCAAGGCTAGGGTAAAGTGGTATCATTTTAATATTCCTTTTCTGAATATTAAAATCTCTCTCTCGCTCTGCCTTTCTCTTTTGTCGAATATCACATTAATTTTATAGCCTCTCTTTATTAAAATTTTTTTGATATCATACTCTCTCCTCTCTCTTCACCACATTTATCTCTAATATGCTCATGATCCCGTTAGAGAGTTCGCCAAAAAATTTCGCTCATTTGGATATTCAAAATCAAAATTTATCACAGTTATCTATCACTACTCTTCATTACATATCTCTCTCCATTTTCTCTTGCTCTCATTTAAATTTAAATTCTCTTCTCAGAAAAAAAACCGTTTTATCGCATCATCAACTCTCTCAAAATTCTCTCCCACAAAAATCCAACAAAATATACTCACAAAATCCTCTCTCTTTTCTTCTCTCTCTCTCCCCAACAGCTCCCCACTATGACAATGAAGATTTGAAAGAAACAAAATACTGCGCCTCCTCACCCTCACCCACAAATCTCAGCAACAAGAGGCCAAGAGAATTGGATTCGGAAATGGAAAATGAGGTGTTGAATTTGGCCACTCACAGCAATACTCCGAAGAGGCAAAATCGTTCTCCCTCACCCATTATGCAGGACGAGAAACCTCAAGAAACCAACGCCAGCTCCCCATTTTCAGCACCCAATAACTTCCTGGCTGCCTTGCAAAATCCCTTGGCCCCCTTCCTACTGCAAAATCAACTTGGCTTGGCCGCTGCAGCCCAGGCTGCCTTGCAACCCGAGGATATGCAGCAGGCTTTTCAGCTGCAACTGCAAAGTTACATGGAAATGATGCGTCAAATGGCCCCAGAGACTCTACAAAATCCTGCTGCTGCCCAATTTCTTTTGCAAAACTCCTTGCAGGCCATGATCCAGCTACAGGCCTTGCAGCAATTGAAACAACAGCAGCAGCAACAAATCCCACCCCAACCTGAGGTGGAAGACGAAACCCCCTGTAAGACACCCAACATGGAGATGATGAAAAAATACTCCACTCCACAAAATAAGTCTCCTCTCAGGAGTCCCTCTCTCAGTCCAGTGTCACGCCATGGCTCAGCCCGCCTGCACAACAGCGGCTCGGGTACCCCAGCCACTTCAACGGCAGCCTCAATGCACTCCCAGCAGCAGCAGACCACACCACCCAACTCCGCCCATTTACCCATGACCTTGAGCAGTGCTGCCATGACCCCCAATACACCCGGCATGACACCAGCCTTTCCACCCTCATCCCTGGGCCAGAACTCAGCTCTGAGTTTCTCCAGCACTCCACAAAACTCAAAAAGTTCCGGAGCCAACACTCTATCTCAAGCAGCCCGTACCTTGGATCAAAGCCCTGAAGAAACCACAGATCTTGAGGAGTTGGAACAATTTGCCAAGACCTTCAAACAAAGGCGCATAAAATTGGGTTTCACCCAAGGTGATGTGGGTTTGGCCATGGGTAAATTATATGGCAATGACTTCTCACAGACCACCATTTCCCGTTTCGAGGCCTTGAATCTGAGTTTCAAAAACATGTGCAAATTGAAGCCTTTACTGCAAAAATGGTTGGAGGATGCCGATAACACTGTCTCTAAACCGGGTGGCATTTTCAATCTCTCTGCCATGACCTCAGCCCCCTTGGCCACACCCGAAAACAACATCATGGGTAGACGTCGCAAGAAGCGTACCTCAATTGAGAGCAATGTACGCTCCACCCTGGAACGGGCCTTTGCCATCAATTGCAAACCCACCTCCGAGGAAATCAATCAATTGGCCGATCAAATGAACATGGAAAAAGAAGTGGTGAGAGTATGGTTCTGCAATCGTCGTCAGAAGGAGAAACGTTCCAACCCCTCGCTGGATTTGGACAGTCCCACTGGTACCCCGCTCAGCAGCCATGCCTTTGGTTATCCTCCCCAGTCGCTAAACCTCACAAATGGCCATGAAGCATCTTCGTTGTGCGGCAGCTCCATAAGTTCTCTGTCTCCCAATCCCCATCACTACAGCGGCAATGGCAAACATGAATGATGTTGGTACGCCAAGGAAGATCCGCATAACGGTTATGTAGATAACATGGATGCACAGCAAACATATCAGCAGCAATGTATGGTGGTGGGGTCCGCACAGGGTTCGATAATGGCAGCGACGCCAGATGCAGATGGCAGCTACATCTCAATGGTGAACAGCAGCAACAGCAGCAATTATCCATATCCCTCGTCGTCGTCGTTCTCTCACAGCAACAACAACAATTATAGCGATTCCTTTGGAGAAGATCTGCAGCGGCAGCAGCAGAATTTTCCGGCAATATCCTCATGGCACAAACAAGCTCAGGATTTCAATCAACAACAACAACAAGAACATTATCAGTATTATTCCAACTCCTCGTCTTCATCTTTACAACTGGCAACTTGGCCACCCAACTCCAAGACGTAAAGAAATTTCGTTTTTCTCTCCCTCGCTCTCTCACTCTCTTCGATAACTTGTTGGTTGCTCTGAAAAGAATTAAACCCTCAGCCTCACTTTGGTCGCCAACTCTGCCTATAAATATGCGACCTTTATAAACAAGCCTAGGCATTGAATCTGTAAATAATCTAGGGAAAGCCACTCCTCTCTCTCCCCCTCCACACCTCTACGACAACATTCCATTTCAGTATTCATATCAAGAAGAAGAAGAAACAAAAATCAAAAAATGATGATTTTCTTCAAAACCAAACAAATGAAAAGAAAAAAAAATATCTAATATTGAAACACTCTTCCATTATTTGATAGTTTTTTTTTTAACAAACAAACATCTAGACTAACTATTAACGAATTTAAGTAGAAAGTGTTTTTGATTTTATTTGTAAATATTTATTTAAAAAAAAGAGCCGGAAAGAGTTTAGAGTTCCTATATATAGACCCAAAAAAAAAATAATAATCAACCTATTACTGGAATTTGAAGTATACTAAAAGAAAAATTACAAACCGAATTCATGTGTATTTATTACAATTATTAACAATAAAAAAAAACTAGATATCAATTTATATAAAATTAAATAATTGTATATATTATATAAGTGTTTAACAATGAAACAACAACAAAAAATAATAAAAAACAAATATTAAAAATTTAAAAATTATTTGTGTTTTCATTTGCGTTCTCCGTTATTTCAGAAAGCTCTTCTAAAAAATTATATTAGCCCGAAAAATGTTTCCAATTTACGAAAAGCCAACCTGCGAACTATAACTACAATTATTTTCAATTTTAATATCCTCCAGCATACATAGTATGGAGGGTATATGAAGTTGGTCATTTCGTTTGTAACTCATCGAAATAATAGCTTTAAATCCAACAAAATATATATATTATTGATCAGCGTAAAATTCTAAGACGATTTAGCCGTGTCCGTCTGTTGTAATCAAGCCACAGTCAAAGCGAATTAAGATAGAAAGCTAAAATTTTGCACAGATCTGTCTTTTGTCTACAGGCAGGTCAAGACCGAAAATGGGCTATATCGGTTCACGATATCGTATAGCCTCCATATAACGGTACTACACGATATTCGGAACTTTGATGATTTCAGTCGCATTTTTCAATGGAATTGTCTGAAATTCTACACAAGGAGTTCTTTGTGAATACATTACCCTCTGGAAGAGAATTGTCTAAATAGTTCCATGTTTCAGTATAGCGCCCATATGACGGTACCCCAGATATTCCGTATTTTCCTGATTTTTGCGGCATTATTCACCGCACTTGTTTCAAATTTCGTATATAAAGTTCGGAACAGTTACTACAGCCTATGACACGAATTACTTATGCAGGACCACGTCTTCGTATAGCCCTCATATAACGGTTTTCATTTGAGCGATATTTTCCGACGGATTTTTTTAAAATTTTTCAAGTTTCTTCCAAATGGTGAAGGGTATAAAAAGTCCGGCCCCGCCAAACTAAAAATGTAAAATAATCAATTTTAGAAAAAAAAAAAACAAGTAAGCAAAGACTATAGCCGTGCAGGCCGACAATGTGATGCTCTACAACACTACAATATGTTAGAAATTCCCTTATGTCCAAATCCATTTTGGGAGATTTCGTTTTTAAAATTATGTCACGGAACACTGATATTACCAGATATTACCCTTTTGCATTTTGACCAGGGACATTTGCCCAATATTTACGCACTCCGTCGTGCTGTTAGCTGTTATGGTCCATTTTACAGCTAAATGTAATCCAATGGTTATCCAAAATGCTACAACTATTTCCTGTCTTTAACTCTCTTCTCAGGAGATCAGGAAATTTTTTTCTGTTTTTGGGTCATTTGAACCCATATTTTGCGATCATCTCCAAAAGCAGCTCCTCTGTATCTCTAAATTTAGACTCATCTATATGATTTGCTTGTCTACGATAATTGGCTATATTCTGCATTAATCAGTAAAGAAAGTCGGGCGGGGCCGACTTTATGATACCCTACACCACTTTGCTAATTTTGTAGAGCTCCACATAACAATTAAAAGATTCTATGGGAGAATTTAATCATACACGCTATGATTATAATTGTAGTATCTTTTAAATTCGGATTTGTATTGCCCATTTGGTGCAAAATTTAATTTGATATCAGATAAAGATATATATGGGAGCTATATCCAAATCTGAACCGATCTCGATAAAATTTTGCAAAGGTATTTCTGAGCTGCAATTGATATATTTCCCAAAATATTGTTGTTACAGAGTGCATATTACGGCTGTGGGTAACAAATACAACAAATCGGATGAACATATATATATATATATAAGGGAGCTATAGCTATATCTGAACCGATCTTCACCACCATGCTAGCTTCTAGACTCAATTCGGTCGCATGTGCCAAATTTCATCCCATTAGGGCAAATATTAGACGTTTGGTGTACAATAAAAGGTAAATCGGACGAAGTTATTTATGGGAGCTATATCCAAATCTGAACCGATCTCGAAAAAATTTAGCAAAGGTATTTCTGAGATGCATTTGATATATTTCCCCAAATATTGTTGTTACAGAGTGCATATTACGGCTGCGGAGGACAAAAATAAGAAATCGGATGAACAATATATATGGGAGCAATAGCTATATCTGAACCGATTTCGATCAAATTTGACATACTTATTTTCAGGCCTAATTTGGTTGTTTGTGCAACTACTATTCTGGCTGATATTACACGTTTGGTGCACAATAAAAGGCAAATCGGACGAAGATATATATGGGAGCTATATCGAATTTTTTACTGATTATCTCCATTTTCAATAGGGTTCGTCCTTGGGCCAAACAAATATTGTTTGGAATATTTCATCTTAATCGGATAATAAATGGGACCTGCATTTTGTTCACAAGAATACATGGACAGACGGACGGACATGCATAAATCAACTCAGAAAGTGATTCTATGGAGATCCCCAAAAGTAATTGTGGGTCTATCTCGCTTCCTTCTCCATGTTACAAACAAATGCACAAAGACATAATACCCTTACCACTACGTGGTGTAGAGTATAAAAAGCCAGAAGTTTACCATTTGTATATTTTGGATTTCATCCGTCATTTTTCTTCAGCGTTTCGGTAGAATGGAAATTTTGGTATTTTTCACACAAAAGTAGTATTCCGTTCTACCCACTGTCCTAAACTCTAACATCAAGCCAGATTTCGTGTCCTTTGGATTCTATTTGTGACCTTTATAACGGCTGCAAAATCATTAATATTTGTAGTTGTTGGTCCATGTCAATCCCTTAATATATTGCGGACATCTTTGAAAACAATAGGCCTAGCCCTTCCGAACCCTTATGAAAATGTTTGTGAGGATCGGACGATAGTTGCATTCTGTATATAATAACCCCAACCTGTGTTGTAAGGTAAAAAAATATTAATATTACTATTATTTACTATCGGCATCTACGAAACGCTCAGAATTGACCTGTTCGTCTATTTGTGTCTAGTATAACTGCAAAATCAGGAAAATTTTCAAAATTTTTCAAAATTTCCAAAAGCAATAGAGTTCTATTCTGGCTCTAGTCCCACCTCCATTCTAAATTTAGTGAAGATCGGGCCATATTTACGACTTGTAGAGTGATTATAAAAAAAACCAGTAAAGAAAGTCCTAAAGTCGGGCGGGACCGATTTTATGATACCCTACACCACTTTGCTAATTTAGTTGAGCTCCACTTAATAATTAAAAGTTTTTATGGGAGAATATGATTATAATTATAATTTAAAATTCAAAGGACTAAATATGCCGAAGCATTTGTATCTTTTAAATTCGGACTTGTATTGTCCATTTGGTGCGAAATTAATTTGAAATCGGATAAAAATAGTTTTCATATAAACTATATCCAAATCTACTCAGGATATGATTTCTACTCAGGATATGATTTAAGGAAATCAAAAGACAAAATAGTTAATCAAAAAGGTTCAAAATTCATACAGCTTTGTGATGATTACAATATGCTTATATTAAACGGAATAACAAAAGGCGATAAGGAAGGAGATCTCACATACATATCAACATTAGGCGATTCTGTGAATGACTTATGTGCAGTATCTAAGGAAGTTCTAGAAAGAATTGTAGAATTTAGAGTGGAGGATAAGGTATGGTCTGATCATTTCCCGATTCTAGTAAGGATAAATATTGGATCCTATTCGCAAACAGAAGAAAAGATGTCATTACTGCCAAAACTCATCTGGAAAGAGAATAATAAGAATAACTACCAACGAAGATTGAACATAAATTTGGAAGTAATCCAAGAAACAACACAGTCATGCCTGGAGGCAATATGTAAGGCGATTTCAAGGTCATATCCCACACAATATTCAAACAAGCCGACATTTCAAGCAAAACAAAAATGGTACAATAATACATGCAACAAAGCTCGTTTAAACAGTTTTAATTTGCTCAAAATATATAGAAGAACTGGAGATCTGGATGACAAAAGAAGGTATTCAGCCGCACAAATCCAATACAAAAACATATGTAATATAAGTAAATCTGCATATTATAAATCAATCGGCAATAATCTAAACAGCATGCGAAACGCAGGAGAATGGTGGAAAATGGCAAGAGAACTTCGAAATGAAAGCAACTTCGTAGGGATAAATATAACCCCAGAAATCTTAAATGCTATTATTCAAGTCTCTTAAATAATTCCGAAGAATCCACACTCATTTACTATGCGCCTACATATAAGGAAGATGTTGATTTGGACACACCAATAATTATGTCCGAACTGGAAAAAATATTTGCATGTGTGAAAAGAAATAAAGCTCCCGGAGAAGACAGGATCCCATACGAATTTTATATAAATGGCACAGAACAACTACATACTCAATTGTTGAATGTATATAATAACATATTTTCGAGCACAAATATTGATACCTCTTTCACAAAAACGGTAATTTTTCCGATACATAAAAAAGGAGATTTTAATGAGCCATCTAATTATAGAGGAATCTCGTTCATGAACTGTGCGGCAAAAATTTTTATGGGGATAATTAATGAACGGCTCTACAATTGGGTTGAAAAACATGAAATTTTGAACGAATATCAAGCTGGTTTTCGTAGAAACTACTCTACAGTTGACAACATATACAATCTTGCCTCTATTGTCGAACTCAAATTAGCAGAAAAGAAAAAAGTATACTCATTTTTCATCGATTTCAAAGCAGCATTTGATAACATATCAAGACAAGCACTTATTTATAAGCTGTTTAGAATGGGAATTTCATACAAAATGGTCACATTAATAGAAAGAATATACAATAACACCCAATCGGCAGTATG